TTCATGTAGATGTTAAACAACATGGGAGACAATATTGAGCCCTGAGGAACCCCACAAGACAATGGTTGTAATAATAAATATAACATATGAATTTAAACAATTAACATATCAATTTAGACATACAATAATAAACATGAGATAATAATTCTAAAATAAATACAATAACAAGCTTAGAAGTAATTCAAATAGAAATACAATTTAAAAAGCTTAAAAGTAAACATACAATAATTCAAATATAAATACAAAAAAGAGCTTAAAAGTAACATTGAATCCCAACCAAAGTGGGCTGATGGAAAAACATCAACTGTTGTATGCCACTTCCCCACAAAAAAATAAAATATAGCAAGTGTTCAGAAAGCTTTCCAGCATTTTAAACTATAGTAGTAGTGCTTTGGGACCCTGTCTGAAATATGAGACATAGAATCATAGAATCATAGAATCAAAGAGTTGGAAGAGACCTCATGGGCCATCCAGTCCAACCCCATTCTGCCAAGAAGCAGGAATATTGCATTCAAATCACCCCTGACAGATGGCCATCCAGCCTCTGCTTAAAAGCTTCCAAAGAAGGAGCCTCCACCACACTCCGGGGCAGAGAGTTCCACTGCTGAACGGCTCTCACAGTCAGGAAGTTCTTCCTCATGTTCAGATGGAATCTCCTCTCTTGTAGTTTGAAGCCATTGTTCCGTGTCCTAGTCTCCAGGGAAGGAGAAAACAAGCTGGCTTCCTCTCACATATTTATACATGGCTATCATATCCCCTCTCAGCCTTCTCTTCTTCAGGCTAAACATGCCCAGCTCCTTAAGCCGCTCCTCATAGGGCTTGTTCTCCAGACCTTTTATCATTTTAGTCGCTCTCCTCTGAGTTGACTTTCATGCTTGATTGAAAGGGAATATGGTTTTCCCTTTTTATTTCCTTTATATAAGTAATATTTTGCAAGGTTTTATTTAGAAAACATATTAAAGTAAGATCCTTTATTTAGGAGAGAAAAAATTTGGCTTCTCCCCGTCGGGGAATCGAACCCCGGTCTCCCGCGTGACAGGCGGGGATACTTACCACTATACTAACGAGGAACTGCTTGAGGAAGCCTCCTCTGTAGAGCTCAAGTAGTGCAAGGGAAGACATGTGGTTCAAAAAGCCAAAAGAGGATTGGATGATGGGAATGTCCAGTGGTTTCTGAATAGAGGTAAAGTGGAAGATCTGGAAGGACAAATGAGGAACCTAGGAAATTACCTGGATCCACGAGATAACAGCAACTACTGCTTTTTCTCAGACTGAGGGCTTTTCTGGGGACTAAAGGAGTTGCAAACAGTCAGAGGGCTTTGAAAGGTTAGGTTAAGAGCAACAAAGGAGGAAGGGAAGCCCCACAATCGCTTCCTTTCCAAAGAGAGGCTTTCGAAAGGGAAACGCCTGAGTTCTGAGCAGAGATCCAAATGAATCTACGAGGCCTGAGGAGACTATCCCGTCTTTCATTTGTGCTGCTGCACTTTTCCCGCGCTTTCCCCGCTTTTCAAATCGGTTCAACCGCGTTCCTCCGCGAGTTCTATAGCTCTGCTCACCTCAAATTCCCAGGACCTCGTGGCGCAACGGTAGCGCGTCTGACTCCAGATCAGAAGGCTGCGTGTTCGAATCACGTCGGGGTCAATTCAATTTTTTCCCCCACCTTTGTGTAAAATAATGTGTGCCTTTGCCTCCTTCTCTGGAATTGTATCCTGTGAATTCTTTTGTATGTGTATCATTATTTTACTAGTTATTACAGCTTAAGTACCTTTGCCTCCTTCTCTGGAATTGTATCCTGTGAATTCCTCAACATATATAAAAAAGTCACTATTTGTCACATGACATATTTAGTTGTAAACTAATTACAGTCTGGCAAAAAGTACCAACGTTTTGGGTGGTTCATCTACAGAAGGTATGGGCAAACTTATACACTCACATATACACACAAAACACATATACACAGACTGGGCCA